GACTTCTTACAGTTTACACGAAACCCGAAACAAACGTAGATGGGGGTGAATAAAGCGTTGTGGTTGCTTTGACAGCATCGGACAATAGAACGATTGTCCCGGACGGTGGGCACTCAATAGTAGTGTTTTGCATACAGGTGCGACCGTGTGTTCCTCGGCCCCAGTAATTGTCTTCGTATGCACTTACCGATGAAATCGACGTGTCTCTTACAATAAGCCACGCGACGGTCTCGCTGCACTGATCCAAGGAATTTAACGATTTTTTGAGGTTTTTAATCAGGCATACAATTAAAATTTTCTTTGCTTCACTGAGAAAATGTTACGAAAAAAGGTAAAATTATCATTTACATAGTTATGAAAGACATGCTCAGCCACGGGGTTAGGCACTTTTTTCCCGGTGTAAACAAAATCGGCAAATATTGAAAAAATGCCTAACTTCGCTAAACCTAAATGGTTACTTGCGACAGTGACTCGCGCTAACCGTTGGTGCGCCATCTACGTCGAAATACAAAACCAGTATACTCTTGTTTGTAACTGAAAACTGGCTGTACACACATTACTACTTCGAGTTGAAACTGTCATTCATTTAGCACGACTAATGATATGAAAACATACACACATTCAAACCTGGTTTATTTCAGACTATGAACCAGAAATTGTTAAAAGGTTACAAAGACTATGCACATGTACAAATCAACAAACAAATCTTCCCCTCAGATTTGGCTTACAATTCTGTTATATTTTTTTAAACATTTCTATCAAAATTTAGATTATCATATTCTGTATGTTACATAATAGATTAACCAGTGTTTTAGTTATGAACATTTGAAAAATTAAAAAAACAAAACAATTCTCAATCTTGCCACTTGGTGGCGCTAACACCAAACTGCATGCTTGTAAAAAAGACATTCTCTGCACTTCTTCAAAACACTTAATACAATTTTAAAATCTTGTTTTTTCACATGATTGCAGCAAGCATTGATAAGTGTTGAACATGCTGATATTTCTTAGCACTCTCATCAAAATACTATTTGACAAATTAGTTTATATGGGACAACTAAACGTGGATATATATATATATATATATATACCATACTTGCTCCAATAGAAGCACACTGCATACTGGGTCAATAACTAGGACCTAATTTGGTCATAGGCATAATGGTGTTATTTAGGCAAGTGCTAATAATAGAGCAAATACAGTATATGTAACATCTAAAATGCACGACTGCTTTACATGTTAATACGGTGGTCACAGCATGCATTCAATGTGGGTCCCATACATTGCATAGCAAAACATATGCACTGTTTATTCTCATATAATTCTAATGTAATTTAAATAGACAAAGCCGCGACTACCATCGTTTGATAGATCACTATCGTTAGTCTCTTTGGATGGTCATCAGATTTTACATTGCCGAGATACTGATAGTTAATTCCACATTAGTTAATTTCTCCCCCAAAAAATGACATATCAACAGAAGTAAACCTTCCTTAGGATTGACGTCAAAAAGATCGATGTCGAATAAAAAACTTTTGCTTTAGTTTGGGGGTTGAGGGGTTTTGACCTCAAAAAGTCACCATCCTACAAAAACAATTTTATTTTTCAATGAAGTCCCAAAAATCTTGGAAGTATTTGTAGTTAATTTTTTTCTATCCAATCATGGACCAAAATAACAGAAAATGAAAAAACAACAAAACAATCTATCAAACTTTTGAATTGACATTTTTTGACAAAAGAAAAAATATATAATGTATTCAATGATTGGCGACAACAGTAAGGGAGGACTTAGGCCAAGCATGAACTCAGCAATTTTAAGCAATGCTACAAATTAGAATATCAAATTAAACAGATAAAGAAATATCAGCAAGAAACACTTTTAAGAAATAGCAGATAGGACGTCGCATCAGAACTCACATAGCCACAACTTCAAAATGGCAGCCTCCATAGCGATTGTATTTGCATATAAAATTTGTGGGAGACAAGACGTTTGGAAATACAAATACTTATATTGACATACAGATGTGACAATTTTGTAACATACAGAAAAATGTCTTCATGCATTGATTTACCTTTGGCACTAGTTGTTCGTGTAACGAAATTACACACACTGCACTATAAGAAGAAGTGCTACCATACTCATGTACACTGTATCTAGCAAAACTACATTTACAAATCAACCTGTATACAAAATTATTATCTCAAACTGCTACAGTAAGTTTAAAAATTTCAACAAAGTATGATACAAATTATTCAATATTTATATAAAAAAATAAGATATGAGAGGTATACCAACTAGATTTGTAATGCTGTCCCTGATTGGTTGAATTATTACCAGGAAGCAAGCAGCTAATCCCAATCAAAAGTATCATAAAGGAAGTGCACAATGCTAATGATACAACAGCCAATCAGTACTATTGGACATTACACATGGGCATATTGTCTTAGTCGATCAGATTACAGACATACTTGATCTTAGCCAATCAGACTACAGATACACATGGTCATAGCCAATCAGATTACAGAGACACATGGTCACAGCCAATCAGATTACAGAGACACATGGTCACAGCCAATCAGATTACGGGGACACATGGTCACTGCCAATCAGATTACAGGGACACATGGTCACTGCCAATCAGATTGCAAAGTAGCATGTTCACAGCAAATCAGATTACAGAGACACATGTTCACAGCCAATCAGATTACAGATACACATGATCATAGCCAATGAGATTACAGAGACATATGATCACAGCCAATCAGATTACAGAGACACATGATCATAGCCAATCAGATTACAGAGACACATGATCATAACCAATCAGATTACAAAGACGTAACTACTACTGATATCCAACAAATTCAACCAAAAAATATCAGAACAGAAATATCAATGTTGTATTAAAATAAAATGTACAGATCACATTCTGTCTTATATTTGGAAGCAAGAGTGTGAAGACTACTGAGGTAAACGCCTAACAACCCAAGATTATTTTGTGAACATCACGACCCCAAAAAATGACACCTCACTGCATCACTCATATTCCAACAAGAAATAATCCCCCTTAAAATTTATATCATGATTTTTAGATAATTCATAATATGACAATTACAGAATAGCTTCTAAAAGGTGAGAATTATCATTTATAGAAAGTTGAAGTTGAAAAGACTGGAAGATTAGAATAGGATTTCGCTGAGAGAATCTTCAAACCATCTTGTTACATATTTATAAACTTGATATTCGCAAACATTGAAATTCACATTACCCATTTATGAAAAACAAGCACATTGATTTTCAAATCTGTAAGTGTGATGACTGTGGGTCATTCTGAATATATATCAAAGCGTGTTTAGTATAACATTTTTGCTCAATTTTGCCACTCATGAATATTTTCCGAGAATCAAAAAATAGAACCATGTTTTGGTCATCAAAATATGGCCAAGAATAAAATGTTATATTTGTTAAGAAACACAATACCCTTTCATAACAAATGAAACCAAAAAAACACAGGTGTTAATTTTTGACAATTTTGAATAATTATACGGCTACACGTGTTCTAAGATCCGCTCAGAAACAATCTGAATGTAGAAGAACATGTTATGCAAGTTGTGCTGGGAATATTGATTTGAAAAGTGTTCAGATTAATTTGGTACAGCCCATGTATCAATTTAATATGAATAGGAACATTAAGTACATACATTATGTTCATGAGAAAAACTCAGTAATTGTTTTTTACACTAATTAATGAGCCACAAAAATTTGCTACATATTTGGAATAAAAAAAAAAATTGTACAAAAAAATGAAAATATTTGACAATTTGGCAACATTTCTCAACATTTTCACACAGATCCAGATATCCTTACCAAAGTGAATATCATTGTTATATGATTTGTACTTTATATTAAAGTGAAGTATTAAGTACTTGCCACGGAGAAACTGTTTAAAATATCAAATATCACTGATCATTAATTCCTATACAAGATTCTTGTTTGACAGTCATGTCTGAATATCACTCTTAACATTAATATAACATTTATGTTCACTTTTGACTCAATGCCTGCCATGATAGATTTGAGATTCATGCATGCAACTCTCAAGAGTCACCTCTGACCCAACGGCAGCCATGATGGATCTATTTTTTTTGGAGGATTTTCCAATCATTAAGTATTTGTTACTACACATTTCAGAAGTCTTAATATTTTTATTGGAATGTGGATTCACTTATTCTATAACAACACAGGCAGTCTTCAGTTCTGCTTCAATAAAACACGATACCACGACAGGCATGTCAAGTTAGTTTGTGAAGCAGTACCAGTTATAAAATCAAGAATGTTGACTAAAATGAGAGTTGAATAGTTTTTCAGAAACTGAAGAGTGATGAACTTGGCTTTTAGTGAAATAGAGTAAATTCCGCGACAAAAACAAACTAATGTATCATTGATTCCAATTTTGTGTTTGAATCTTGTCACTGTTTTGCCCTAATAAAAAATATATCTCATGCTAATAATACTAATGCATTCTGGGTGAATGCTTGATGTAATTCCTGTCTCAACTTAGTCTCAACCTATGATGTCATTTCCTGTCAACCAATTAATATTCTCTGATAGCACAGAAAAACAAGTTTGACACAAGACACAAAATAAAAACAATTAAATGGAGCAAGTTCACTTTGTTAATGTTAAAATATTAAAATAAAATAATTAACCATTATTAGTACTCAGTACCAGATTGGATAATTTGTCCATACAATATTTGCAACTTTATGTTGGTGTAACAAAACTTTCACATTCATGATCTTTTGAACAAAAAACAAGCATCGTTCAAACTATAAAATTGTTTTCAATATTTCCCTTTGAACTATGCTTGACATGTGTTCCAAGCATACCAAAATATATTAAAATAATTTGAGGAGAAAGTTTCCATGGAAACATGCAACACTGAAAAATTGTTTACGTCTATACGATGGTTACTTTTTACATTTAAAAAAACCTAAGCATGCAGGCACTCTAAATACATCTCATTACCATGACAACAACATTGCTGGCATGATGATAGAACTATTTGTTTAATTTATACATTCTCTGAGAAGGTAGTGTACAAAGTTTTAGTGAGAATGATTATATCACCATGGCTGCTACATCATATCACCATGGCAACAATCTCTATGATAACATGGCTTTGATATTTTTCGGCGTGCTGTCATCGTTGAAATGTTTTGATGTGTATCTGAGAGCATTGAGAAGACCTTCAACTTTGGTTGGGTGCTGCACTTTCAAAACCTTTATACAACCTTTTATCTACAAAACAAAAGAAAACTTGACAAATATCTTACACAAGAACATACAACTGCATGATGTCACCCTCATGTGGCAGTTTTGGAAAATACTTTCCTTTAAATTAAAGGCTAGATGGGGTTAAACATTTTTTCTTAATTAAAACAATATTTTGGATTGTCATTTTCTTATCACAATGCTCTTCTCTACAGATTTTGGTTGGCACATTTGGCAATTCTGGGCCACGAAAAATGTCATAACTATATACAAACATATATACCTGTTAGAACATGTAGCTAATCTTTTGTCAGCTCTATGTTCGAACAAATTGGCATATTTTGAATTTAACAATTCATACCAATTCAATCATGAAGTAGTACGCCCAAGTTACATATATAGAGTTAGGGTTTTTTTCAAGAAGAAGTCATTTAAAGGAAAAGACAACAATTATGGAAAATCACATATACATTGTACCAACAGCTCCACTCATCTTCAAATGACAACGGAGCTAATAAAAAGTAACAACTTGACAGATTCTCCCTGCCAAAATTATGATACTTACATCTATGGAGGACTTCTTATCAAATGCGCCTACTGGATGTACATGATCATAGAGTATAATCACCCCAACCATCACCCGTAGACAGAACAATACTGTATCTTCATTTTTGAATCGAGTGTAGTGAGCACTGAAACCAATCAAATTAAGAATGTTGAAATAATTCAATAATCACAAAATGTGTGCATCTGAGGAGGTTGTGATGATGTCTCTATGGACAATCTAATCCATTTTGTAAAACTCTGTCAAACTCAGTTATACAACAAATGTGCATTAGTTCTGAGCTAGCTTTTCATACTTGGCTGCATGTGTAAATTGTATCTAACTACATCCCATCTCATTGAATGTATGCTAATCATGATCAGACAGCAGGTCTCTGATGAAATTCATCAACCAATGAGATTACGTCTTACAGGAAAGGGGACTTGAGAAACTATCCCAAAATACACTATGATTTGGAATTGTGATATGGTCTATGGCTGCCACTCAGTCATCTTTGATTCTCTGAACTATGTTGCCTGTTTACAAAGTTTGAAATTAATATGAATATTTGAATGCTGCTCATCTATGACAAAAATAGAAGATTTTGGGCAAATAAAATGGTTGCCAGTCAATCATCTTGGATTGACTGTTGTTAATATAGTAGAACATAATTCTCTGTGAACCAATTTCGGCATAAGTGGACAGTTTGAATTTGAGATACATATAAGCAGAAATGAACAAAAAATTTTGTCAAACAAAATGGCTGACAGTTGCCCATTGGATTAAAACACAAATAAACATTTGTTGACATACTTGAAGACAATCGTCTGTAGACCAAGTTTGGACATAAATGGACAGCATGAATTTGAGATATAATAAGCAGAATTGTGCAAAGAAAAGACAAAATTGATGATTTTCATCAGACAAAATTGATGATTTTCATCAAACAAAATGGTTGCATCTTCAGGAAATAATATACTGCCAGGTTTGGGGTAAAGTGGATCATGAACTTCTAAGATAATGCAATGGATGAACAGATGGGCAAACGGAACCCAATCCATAAGCCCCCAGACTGTGTGCAGTTGGGGGCTAACAAATGGACAGTCTTCCAGTTACACATGTCACCCATCAGAATTATGAGTACCAAAGAGCCCAGTGTTTCTAGAATAGAAAGAATCATGACATATACTTACTCATGTTCTAGCATAGTTTTACAAACTGCTGCCATAGTACTTAATAAATCTGTTGTGTTTTCTATGGGAAGATTCTTATTCTGAAAATTGTAAATAAATTATAAACATTAATTTTGTTTTTCTATGCATATTTTATTTGGTCCATCAGAATCTAAACTTGAGTTTCTACTGACCTCTGAAACAAATCGCGTTGTAGCATCACTTAGCATTTTCAACATAGGTGTGGCTTGAGCATAAAATAAGGACATTCGATTGGCCATTTCATTATTTACATCACTACCATCATCACCATTCTGAAAGAAAATAATATAAATTGACTGAAATGTACAGACACTTTTAAAACTGGTTGGTCGTTATTGTTTACATAAAACGATTGCAGTGAGTTTGGTGGGTAACTTTATCTGATTGGCCATTACAGTAAGTTTGGTGGGTAACTTTATCTGATTGGCCATTACAGTGAGTGTGGTGGATAACTTTACCTGATTGGCCATTACAGTAAGTTTGGTGGTAACTTTACCTGATTGGTCATTGCAGTGAGTTTGGTGGGTAACTATATCTGATTGGCCATTACAGTAAGTTTGGTGGGTAACTTTATCTGATTGGCCATTACAGTGAGTGTGGTGGATAACTTTACCTGATTGGCCATTACAGTAAGTTTGGTGGTAACTTTACCTGATTGGTCATTGCAGTGAGTTTGGTGGGTAACTTTATCTGATTGGCCATTACAGTGAGTTTGGTAGGTAACTTTATCTGATTAGCCATTACAGTGAGTTTGGTGGGTAACTTTATCTGATTGGCCATTACAGTAAGTTTGGTGGTAACTTTATCTGATTGTTCATTACAGTGAGTTTGGTAGGTAACTTTATCTGATTGGCCATTACAGTAAGTTTGGTGGTAACTTTATCTGATTGTTCATTACAGTGAGTTTGGTAGGTAACTTTATCTGATTCGCCATTACAGTGAGTTTGGTCGGTAACTTTATCCGATTGGTCATTACAGTGAGTTTGGTTGGTAACTTTATCTGATTGTTCATTACAGTGAGTTTGGTAGGTAACTTTATCTGATTCGCCATTACAGTGAGTTTGGTCGGTAACTTTATCTGATTGGTCATTACATTGAGTTTGGTCGGTAACTTTATCTGATTGGCCATTACAGTGAGTTTGGTAGGTAACTTTATCTGATTGTCATTACAGTGAGTTTGGTGGGTAACTTTATCTGATTGGTCATTACAGTGAGTTTGGTAGGTAACTTCACCTGATTGGTCATTACAGTGAGATTGGTAGGTAACTTCACCTGATTCGCCATTACAGTGAGTTTGGTCGGTAACTTTATCTGATTGGTCATTACAGTGAGTTTGGTAGGTAACTTTATCTGATTGGCCATTACAGTGAGTTTGGTAGGTAACTTTATCTGATTTGCCATTACAGTGAGTTTGGTGGGTAAATTTATCTGATTAGCCATTACAGTGAGTTTGGTCAGTAATTT